GCCATCACTAAATGTTCAGACCCCAGTCAGCAGTAATAGCAACAAGAGGGCTAGTACTGCTAGTACTTGTGCCTCTAGTCCCAACAAGAAGTCCAAGTCCAAAAGCCAAGCTATCAAGCTAATGGACAAGGTTATCAGTGAGCAAACCAGGATTGGTGAAGACAGGAACAAGATGATGGAAAGACACGTTGAACTGCAGGAAAGGAAGGCTGAAATGAAGGCAATCATGAAGAAAAGATGCAGGGAAGAAAAGAGAAAGGAAGAGGAAGATGAAGTTGAAATTGTGCAGCAGATGGCAAGGGACTGTGGTGTTCAACCAAATAATATAAGGCTATGGTACACTATCCTGCAGATCTGCAAGGACAAGAAGACTATGACTTTCTTCAAGAAGACTGATCCAGATGCAAGGAAGGGGTTCATTGAATACTATGCCAGTGTCAACAACTAGTCCTGTGTGTCAATGTCTGTCATCCAGAGTCATGTGTGTGTCATTTGAACTATATGATGTGTGTGTCATTTGAAATAAGTCATGTGTGTGTGAACTAAGTGATGTGTGTGATTTGAAGTTATTCTGTGCTGTCAGTACTATGTGAACTAAGTCATGTATGTGATGTCAGTACTCACTATTTATTGAATACTTGCAGATTTAGTACTCACTATTTATTCTGAGCTGCTTAAGTTATTTTGAATGGTGTCACTACTAACTATTTCATGTATCCAATTTGTCAGGTACTTGAAACAACAATGGATGTGAGCAGCTCAAGCAAGTCAAGTAGCTCTAGCAGTTCAAGTAGTTCCAGCAGCTCTGATTCAAGTGATGATGAAGTAACCAGCATGCTTGTGGATGATGAAGGTTCTCATTTAACTAGTGGTATGCTTCTTTTTTTGCTCATACCTTGAAAAATATCTATCTAGATCAGAGTACGAAATACCATTGGTGCCTAGGATAAAGTGGGTAGAGAGAAAGCTATCAAACAAAGAGAGCTGCTACAAAATGTTTAGGATGACCCTAACTTTGTTCTACAAACTCCATGAAAAGCTAGAGTCTTATGGCTTGAAATCCACTAATAAGTGTTCCTCTATTGAAGCATTAGGAATGTTCTTGTGGATGGTTGGAGCACCATAGTCAGTTAGGCAGGCTGAGGATAGATTTGAGAGGTCACTAGGCACAATTCATAACAACTTCATGAAAGTGTTGAAATATGTTTGCAAGCTAGCTGCAGAAATCATCTGCCCAAGGGACCCAAGTTTTAGTGATATGCATCCTAGATTGCAGAATCCTAGATTCTCTCCCTTTTTTAACAATTGTATTGGAGCAATAGATGACACTCACGTCCCAGTAATCGTAGACAAGGATTTGATGGTTCAACACATGTGCCGCAAGAACATTACAACCCAGAACGTCATGGCTTGCTGTGATTTTGACATGAGGTTTATATTTGTGCTTGCTGGATGGCCTGGTTTTGTACATGACATGAGAGTATTCAATGATGCTATGGACAAATGGAGCAATAAGTTTCCACATCCACCATCAGGTACACATTGTTATAGTTGAGGTAGTTCTGTTTCCTATTTGAGTTAATGGAAGCTAACTACAGTTCATAATTGTGCAGAAAAGTTTTACCTAGTGGACTCCGGGTACCCAAACTGTCCGGGATATCTTGCACCGTTCAAGGAAACCAAATATCATATTCCAGAGTACCGTGACGGCCCGGAGCCCGAAGATAAAAATAAAATCTTCAACTTTACACATTCATCGCTTAGGAATGTGATAGAGAGGTGTTTTGGAGTACTGAAAATGAAATGGAGGATTTTGCTAGGGATCCCTGCTTATCCTTCACATGTCCAGACCAAAATAATTGTTGCTTGCATGGCACTACATAACTTCATTAGAGCTAGTGGATTAGTGGATAGGGACTTTGCACTTTGTGATCATGATGAGAATTACGTCCCACCTGAAGCGTCATACTCTCAGCCACGAACTACTCCAGCACCGTCAAGGGAAGATGCAGAAGTGATGAATGTGTTTCGTGAATCGATCGTTGTTGGTCTGTATAATCGTAATCGCTGTTAACTGTGTTTGTGAAATGTGTAAAACATGTGAACTGTGAACTGGTTTGTGTAAAACTGTGAACTGGATTATGAACAATTTAGTACATGTGAACTGTGAACTGTGGTTGTGAAATGTGCTTTGTGAACTGTTAAACTGTGTTTGTGAACGATGGCTTTGTGAACTGTGGCTTGCATGTCAAAATTGTGAACTGTTGACTGTGGCTTCCATGTCAACATTGTGAACTGTTGACTGTGGCTTGCATGCATGCTTGCGTGTCAAAACGATGGCCTGTGGCTTGCATGGAAGAAGCAGCGACGTCGATGGCTGGAAGAAGAAGCAGCATGCATGCTTCTGCATGGGGATGAGGCAATATGTGATTTGTGATTTCTTGGATTTTGGGTGCAACTAAACAGGTGCTTGGGAATTCTTGATTCTGGATTTGGGATTGTAAAAAATTTGGAAATCTGAATTCTAAAAAATGGAGGGAACTAAACGGGGTCTCAGTCTTGTTTTAAGCAGGCTGAGGCGTCCTGCCTCTATCGGTGTAGCACACCAGCCGCTAATCTCTGTAGGCCTGTAGCCCACACGATAATAAAGGATAAAGAGTACAGTACGTAATTGATGACCATGGCACGTTTTGCAAGGACATGTGTTTAGGTTTCAATCACCTCCATGCATTGACGCCACAGAAACGAGAATACCGAGGGTACGTTTCAGTGCAACTTTTGTGGGATGGTACATGCATGCTTGCACGCATGAACCATCAACCATCGACGACCACGCTGTCCATGCATATGACATGCATGCACGTATCTCGGTCCATTTGACCATTGCTGATAGCTTCATAGCTAGTACGGAGTAGATCAGAAGACTTTTTTTAGTGTCTGCGATTGGAGCTGAGAGTTGTAGCAGCCAGCTTTAATCTGTCTAACGGATCGACACGCGCGCAGACGCGAGATCTTGAGAGAGATACTGACATACTGTAGGCATTTGCTTGTCCCGTGTTTCTGAATCATCTACTGCATACTCTGCATGCGCAATACAACGCAATGCATGCAGCCCATGCTTAATCGGCGGTGCAGGATGTTCGTTCGTTGCGGCGAAAACCACGGCGGTGGCCCCGGCCGGCCGGCCGGCCGGCCGACCAGGCATACCGTACCACGCCGCCGGACGGGATGCAGACGGCCGTCCGTACCGTAGGCAGGCCGCGCCGTATTAAGCTGCAAAAGTACATCCGAAAGATTGAAGTTATTGATTAATTCTGGAAAAGACACTGGATCTTTAATTTGTAGACATGCATGGTATGATGGTGCGGTATGGTGACACTGATCTTTGCACGCATGCTTTCTGGTGCATGCATGTCAATTTGTGTGGCTGGACGCTGGATGCATGTATCTGCCTCTGTTCCTGTCATTAAACCTATTCCCAAGTCTTATATATTGTAAACTTCGTCAGGGCGGGGCCTGTTCCTGTTCGGATCTCATCATGCATGCGCACAGACTTTAACAAAACGAGTTAATTATAGCATAAGATACGTGAATCATGAGACTTATCAAACTACTGTCAAAGTTCATTTGCTAGTGCGTGGCATATTTGGGCACATATCCGATCTTTATCCTAGTCCCATCCATCAAATGCCCGGTACTCTCTCGGTCCCAAAATATCTATCGTTTTCGGTTTTCCAAAAAAAAACTTTGACAAAATATATATTAAAAAATATTAATATTTATGATACATAATTAATATCATTGAAAAGATATTTAAATCTAGTTTTTTAATAAATTTATTTAAAAATATAAATATTGTATGTATTTTCTATAAATTGAGTCAAACTCATGTCACGGAAAACAAAAAGCGATAAATAATTTGAGATACGTGAAAGTCAATATCCTTGGATTCCAACCATGCATGACCTCCTAGCTATAGCAAACTTGCCCAATGTACCTCTCCTTCTCAAGAGTTTACAAACCGTTCGTTTACTCTGAGCCGGATCAGTGCCTTGGTCGTGCATGCAACAGTGCAAACAGCCAGATCGCTATCATGACACTGTTGACCAGACAGGTTTGGGGTGTCAGATGGACAAGGGAAACGCCGCGTTCATGGGTGGATCATTGCGTTGCGCGCCCCCACAAAGATCTGCAGCCCGATCGCGGCGCAGGAGTGGTGGTGGGGATTTCAGTTTCAAGCATGCTTCGGCTGTGTGTCGGCCACTTCGTTCAGTTCTCTCGAGTCGCTAGCTGTGTGGTACGAATTGCACGCCGATTCCTGATTCCAGCCGTCCGCCTCCGCCGCCAGTTACTTCATCGCCGCCGCCACCACAGCCACAGGCTGCAGCAGGCTGGCCTGGCTGCAGGAGTAGCATGCATGGAAACTACAGTACACAGTACATCGACCACCTTCCAGAGTTTTCCAGAGCCCTCATCGGCCGGCATGGAGGAAAATCTTCTTGTTTCTGAATAAAAGAATCTTTGCATTCTATTCCAGCCGTGCACGCTGCGAGACTCCTAGAGGTTCGATTATTGATTAGGGCCTAAGCTAAACGTCGTCATATACATCACATCGACAGTCTATAGTCAAAAGATTGATCTGACGGTAGCAAGTGACGTACGCCCGCCGGCTGACGACCATGAGTTGTTGATACGCAAGATCATCAAGCGCATGCATTCGACGACGTGATACGTCTAGCTACGAAATTCAACTAGGACTCGAACACAACGTACACGCATGTGATCACAAGAAAAGTCTCGCTCGACAAGGACGGTAATAATAGCCAAAGTGTCTCTCTACACAACACTCAAATAACACTCTCGTATAAGGAGGATAATTAAAAAGATGGAACTAATTAAACCATCTAGCTACTAGCTACTAGTAGTACGTAGTAATAATCTACTAGTTTTACCAGCTGTCTACTAATTAGCCAGCATTCACAACGACGTCGTACGAGCACCTAGCTAATAGCCAGCCGGCTGCCGGCCGGCTCGCTAGCACAGCACGTCCTTGAGGAGCTTGTACCTGCGGGGCCTCCGGCGCCCTCGCCGTGCTCGCTGCCGCCGGTGACCTTGCCGGCGCCCTGCTTGCTGCACCCGCTGGGCGGGAACGACGCCGCCGGCTGCTGCGCGCCTCTGCCTGCCTCTTCTTCCACCACCTGCGGGTGCTGCTTGTCGCATCCCGACGCCGAAGAGTGCTGCCGCTTCTTCCCGCCACCGACGACGTCGTCGCTGAGGCACCAGTCGCACACGCCGGCGCCCGCCTGGGCCGGTGCCGCGTCGCCGTAGTAGTTGGTGCAGTAGCTGCTCACATGCATGCATTGGATTCGAAGGAACGCAACGGTGACCATGCATGGTTAGTCTGATATGGTACTGGAAGTAGTAGTAGCAGCAGCAGCAGCAGCTTATTACTCGACGAAGGGCGTAGGTACGTACGAGTGCTGGAAGCGGCGGCGGCAGCGGGCGCAGCGGAAGAGCTTGTCGGGGAACCCGACGTCGCCGCACATGGAGCACACGGTGGTGCCGGCCATCGACACGGACGGGGACGCCGGCGTCCTAGCTCGCGTGGACTGGAATGGATGACGATATAAATTATAATACGTATAACCTTGGAGGCCGGAGAGAGGAGAAAGAGATTCGTTCGTGCGCGGTGGCAAATTAAACAGCGCAGGAGATCGAGCGGCAAAGCTCAAGCCGACGGAACGAGGACAAGGGTCCCTTTTATAAATACGGACGCGAGAACGAACGAGAGGAGATGGGGATGGAGGAAGGAGAGGAGAGGGAGGAGACGCTTGAATTTATTTATGAGCCGGCTTATCAGATAGTCTATAATATTTTTCTCTCATAACAAATCGCCCGAACAGGAACAGGTGTGAGGGGCCCAAGCACCCAGGTATGAGGTCGCCGGCGGAGCCGGGGACCCGGGCGGGGCGGGAGACGGTGGTCCACGTGTCCCTGTGCCTATACGTGCGTGTAAAGGGAAAATAAAAAAAGGTGTGACGCGAGTCGCTGGTCGGTTGCACTAGTTTTATTGCCTGGTCGGTTGCACTAGCTTAATTAGGGCGTGTTTCGTCCTAAAGTTTAGTCATTCCTAAACTTATTTAATTTGGTGAACTAAAAGAAATTAAAAGAAGCCTTCTAGTTCCTTTTTAGTCAAGGTGTTTAGCTCCAAAGTGACTACAGTGAGATAGCCTGACTAAAAGGTAAGATTTAGTCCTATTTAGCAAGTTGGCTAAAGCCTATTTAGTTTTATTTAGTCAAAGTGTTTATTATAGTTAGATTTTTATGCTCCAAGATATCCAAACTTAGGATCACATCAGCACCAGCCTATAGCTTAGAGGTGCAATCAAATAAGCTAGTTGATTCAGAATAGCTTATTATTCAATTATAAGTGGGGACAGAGCCTGGATTGTGTAAGTGTGTGATTCAAACTTGTATAATAGATCTAAGCCGTGGGTTAAGACTCCATTTCGATGAGGGCATAAGGTTAGAGTTTGGAGAAGGGGGTTTCATTAGGGCCTTTTTTTCATGGCCTATAAGGCTTATAGGGAAGAAGTTGAAGGTGGCAATGGATAAGGTTTGTCATGGGAGGACTCAACAATCTTTTTAGATTGGAACAAGCAGATACATATCACTTGATACGGGAGGACATGGGATCGAGAGTGGTGCCATGGAAAAACTCATTGCCACTGAATAATCACAAAATGACATGTATAGAGGAGTAAGACTTAAGAAGTGGTGTAAGAATAATGGTCACGAAATTGGAGTGTAGTGTAGTGAGGTTGTTCATAACACCCGAACATCACCCCTTAATCGAAAGGTACCCTTAATCCCTTTCATGACGGAACTGGATCAAGGGTCTCTCGTGAAACTCTGAAGAAACTGTCCAGCACATGTTCCTGGAGTGTGAAATGGCCAAAGCTTGCTGAAATATTCTTGGCATTGCAATTGATTTATCACTGGACCCTTTACAGATTTTTGAGAGTTTCAGAGTGCAGTTGAATGTCAGCTTTTTCATGGAGATCATAATCATCATGAGCTGGAGTATCTAGACAGTAAAGAATGATGTCATTTTCAGAGGACTCCCTACTAGCATTCAAAGATGTTCAGAGATCTTCAGGCGCACTTAAGAGCCAAAAAGAAATACTTTCCTGCAATTGAGTTATGGCTAGAGCACTTTCTATAATTGTTTTAATTTTCTTTGTTTCCCTTTTTGTCTCCTGAATTCCGGTTTCCCTGTTCTTCTTGTAAACTTTTGTAAACTCTCTGGTTTCCTGTAACTTTCTTGGTTACTTTTAATAAATTTCCAGTGGAGACTCCTTGAGTCCCTGTTCCTTAAAAAAAAAAGAATCTCTCGTGCACGTTTATTTCCTTTTCTTCAGCACAACTAGTGTTCCCTGCCCTCGGGATCACCCTTTATTAACTAACTCCACGAATAAAGTGTAGGATATAATTTGCTTATTGGTATTGCTTCTATATGTGATGACTTGTGACGCCGGTAAGTATTGAAAGGGTTTTATTTTTTTGAAATAGATTTAGTGAAAACGACAAAGTTAATAGATAAGATGAGAGTCTTTTGTACAATTGTCCAGTTATATTCATTGAGCAGAATAGTTTCTTAAAAATTCATGACATACTTGATACTTTTATGTCTTTTATTAGAAAGAGTATGCTAGACAAGTCCGAGTAGAGCGCATGATAGATTTTTTCCTCTATCGCAACTTTGTAATATAGGTTCGGATACGGATTGATGCTGAAGCTGAAGCCCTAGGCTTTTTCCTCTATTATTATTATCTTATTAAGAAATGAGGGGATGCATGTACTCCATCCGTCCACAAAAAATGCAATTACATTATCTGTGTCATCAATATAGCTCAAATTTGATCAAGTTTATATAGTAAATAGTATTAGTATTTATATCTTTAAATAAATTATAAAAATATATTCTATAATAACTAATCTAATAGGATTTATTTTGTATCATGAATGCTTCTACTTTTTTTATATAAATTTAATTAATGTTTATATAGTTTGACTCCTCGAAAAATAATAATTATATTTTTTATAGAGAAAATACAAAAGTACCACGCGGATCTCGTACCTCGAGGAGGAAAGCAGCAACCGGAAAGTCACTCTCTGTACGTGGGGGTAGACGACCCTAGCTATTTTTGTTTAAGGTAGATAACTTCTCATCCAATACGAGATGTCATACCCGTATACAGGGGCCCGTTACCTGGTGAAAGGGCCGGTCTATTTTACTTGTGCGTTGAAACGTAGGACAGGCGAGGAGGTACGTACGAAATCATGTACGATCAAAGGATGGGCCTATACATAATACAAAAAGTAGTAGGAGTAGTAGTACATGAACGCAACGACTTGAGATGCACTGTGAGGTCGTCGGCGGTTGGTTGCTGCACCTGCATGCGTATGTACTTGACGCGATTACAGTACCGGATCCTTTGCTTAGAGGAGAAGACACCTCGCTCGATCGAGCTTAGGAGCGAGTCCATTTGGTTTTAATTTGGATATGGGGCCTCGCTCATGCAATGGTCACATATACGGAGTAGCTCCTGTGCAGCTGACAGAAACAACATGCACGTCTGCGTAGTTGTACGTGTGCAGTAACTCGCTTTTATTTTCTTCTGTTCTATCTGTCGCGCGACCTGTACTGCTGTACGTTGTATGGCCATGGAGTCGAGCGACGTGCGTGCCGCCGCTAGATCTAGCACGGCCACTGGTTGCATTGCACAGCCGCACAGGACAGCGGCCTGGAATGGCAGCCTAGCTCATCTGCTGAGTGCTGAGCCCCGCAGCGCAGGACCCGCGAGCGGGTAATGGCGTGTGGACCGGATCGGGCCGACCACCGGTGGCCGGCCGAGCCCCCCGGGCCGTCAGGTTACTATTACGGCATGTGCGGCACCGCCTGTTTTGATTAGGATCGGAGTAGTACGTGTATGTACATGCACGCTGACGCTGCCTGCAAGGCAGGTAGGCGATGCCGATCGATTCTTCGCTGTCTCGGATCCATCCATCGCTGGTCGCTGCCTCTGTTGCGCCTGTGACGACGGCGACTTGGCGCGCGCCGCCTTGTCGATGTGCCGGTATGTGGACGCACGCACGCACCAGCTCTATTGCTACAGCGCGTGCAGTGCCGCCTCATTTGCCCCGGTTTGCCGTCTATAATCGAATATAGATCGAGCAGTTCCATCCGGGCCCTGTTTCTATTGCTTGCAGGCAACGACGCGTGGAGATGGTTACCGTAGGCAGCAAGCAGTCAGAGTATCTATGGAACGTTCTCGATATATCGTACTGATGTCGCGATCGCCGGTCGTTTCTCGTGATTCTAGAGTGTTCGATCTCCTGGTATAGCCTGCCACCTCTCAGCCCCGCGGGTCAGCCGGTGCTTCATGGAGCAGATTGATTCATCTTTTGAGGGCAGCCCGCGTGAGAGAGACAGGAACCGGAAGGGCCTCGTCGATGGAAAGAAATGATCAAATGATCGACCTCCAACGGAAAAGAGGCATGCGAGAGCCCATGCTTAAGGACTAGAGTGAGTCGAAGAAAGAAGCCTGATGAAGAGTTTTTTTTTATTGTTCAATGAATGAGATAATGAGCAGACACCCGCCTCCTTTTTTTTTCGAGGGAAGGAGTGGATGACATTATGAGAGCTTGCCTGTAGTAGTGTCATCAGACACCAGCCTCCTTCTATTCACGAGATAATGAATACGTTCATTGTCATTTGTTTTATATGAATGTTGTATATGTTGCAAGCGTTTCGGAGAAATGTTGCAAGTGTTTATTGAAAACGTTTTATCTGTTTTAGACGTATGTTGCAAGCATTTTGATCTGAATGTTGCATATGTTTTCGCACATATGTTCTGTTTCAGTCTTATATTGCAATGAGTGTTTTCATGTTGCAAGTGTTTTATCTGGATGATGCATATGTTTCACACATATGTTTCAAGTGTATGTTCCAAATGTTTCATGTGCTTCAGACGTATGTTGCGTCTAAGTGTTTCATATTTTAGAGGTAGAGAGTCATGGGAGCACGATCCAGGCGCCAGGGGATGGAGCGCGACCAGGCGGGGCTGACAGATGGGACGTGCTAGGGCCGCCGGTCGAGGTGCGCTGCGCACCTGGGGTCGTGTGCACGGGGCGCGCTCGTTCTCATCCCGCCTCCTAGGTCCCGCTCGCGCAGAGAGAGTGGAGGGGGTTCAGGGGGAAGGAGCGGCGGCGGCGTGGAGAAGGCGCGGGCGTCCGAACTCGCTGAGAGAGATAAGGGGGTCAGAGGGAAGGAGCGATGGGCACGGCATTTTGCGTGGACGTGCATGATGATAAAGGCGTGGGAGTCCGAACGCGTCTTTGTGTCCAGACGTCCGGGCGCCGGTATCTTCCTTTGAGATCTAGCAAATGTGTCTGATGAACACATCCATTTTGTTTCTTGGGGAAAAAAACAGACATCCATTTTAGACGTTCGATGGACCTGCTACACCACGGTCCACGAACCGCCCGTTTAGTTGCCGTCGATTTGGACTCCCACTATCAATTTAGCCCGCCAAAAGCCCATCACGGTGCCACCCGCATCGGGCCGTTCAGCCGGCCGAACAGCTCCCGTCATAACGGGCTCCACGGCCCAGCACCCCCATTCCCCCTCTCCAAGGAAACCGAACCATTCTGATCCTGCAACCCGCGGCGGCGCCGCCGCATCGCATTGTCCCGACGCCGAAACCTAGCTCCTCAATTCTCCTCGCCCACCTCTCGCTAGCAACTCCCCACTCCCCAGTCCCCCGTGGCCGGACGCCGCGGCGAGATGGCCTCGACCTGCTTCCGCGCCGCCGCCCGCGTGGCCTCCGCCGCCAGCCGCTCAGCGGCGGCCTCCCGCTCCGCTCCCTCCGCGTCCCGCGCCGCCGCCGCCGCCGCCCGCCGCGCCTCGTGCTTCTCCAGGTAACGGTGACCCGTTCCGCTCCTGCGCTTGGTGCTGGCGCAGTGGCGCATTACAGGATCTGTAATGGATGCGCTTGTTGGGGTGTGCAGGGTGCCGGTGGAGCTCGGGTGCTGCGCGGGATTGTCGCTGCTGCCGCTGCACAGCGCGGTGGCGGCGGCCAGGCTGACGTCGCGGCTGAGCACGGCGTGCCGTGCTCTCTCTCAGGGTATCCTCTGTCGCACCTATCCCGGGTTCGCCCTGTTCGTTTGGCTTACAAGCCTGGCTTGTCAGCCAAGCGAACATCGTAAGATTATGCTCTTGTCTGTGTTTGCTTTCCATTTGGTTGAAAATCGCGTCTGTGTGTTTTCCTTTCTGGTAGATTCAATGTTTACTGCGTGATTGTTTGATATGCGCGAACAAAAAAATGTCACTCATTATTGTATTGTAACAGCGAAATGTCATCCTAACCATTTTAACCGATCATGTTCAACACAAAACCATCTCCATTTTCATTTTCCTGATGAATGCCATCCGCTGCTCTGTAATACGCAATACATGAATACCTTATGTTATCTGAATGGAAAAGTACATAAAAAAAAACTCGACCTGCGGGGGGTATGACAGCCCCCGAGCATTTTTTAAGAAGGATGATCTTCTCACAGATCGAGAAAACCCCGAACCCCCTCCCTCCATCCTGCAGTGAGAACCAGGCCGGGCCGTTCTGCGCTTTGGCTTATGGGGACGGGCGAGGGGATTTTTTTACCCCAACCTGAAATTCGCTCCATGGGGAGTCGAACTCAGGACCTGAGGGGTGCCGCGGAATTCCCTAACCACTTGGGCTAGAGTCCTTTGGCAAAAAGTACATATAAACAATGAAATCTTGAACGATGAATGCAAGCACTGCTCTGAACGCTGAATGCAAGTACGTGTAAACAATTTAATGACAATATTTAAGCGGAAATGGTCATGTCCTTTAGATGGTTTTGTGCATATAGGTATATAGGAAAAATGCCGAAATAATGCCGTGACTGATTTCACCACAATAGTTTATTAGTAGTGTTTCACCATACGTTCAAACTATATGGAGCATTGACAGATTTCCCTATTCTCTTTCCTTTCATAGGGATATTTTTCTTTGATGGGTAGGAATATGGCTGTAGCAGACTCCTAGTAAACCCCTTTTACATTTCAGTCTCTTTGGAGAGGGTGTCTAGTAGTAGCTCAATACATCTCATATGCTGATGCTCGGTAGAAAAAGAATCTCGTTGCTTGCAATTCAAGATAAGATAATGTTTTCCATGCTGTGACGATTCCTGGATTCGCTCATTCAAAAATATTCTTTGCTGGGTTGAGGTCAATTAAATTAAGACATTTGGTTTCTACAGGCACTGCTGCAGGCACATGACTTTGATAGTTCTTGAAAGATATTACTGGGAGCTTGCTGTTTTGCTTCATACAATCATGAAGAACGAGTACTTTAACACGTGAAATTGTAATGGAAGACTAGAGTAATGTTATTTACCTAGAATTACTAGCTAGCTACCTCTGTTGAGGAACACCTTGATGCAATAATGTGGCATCCTTTTCAATGTTTTAGACAGTGATTGTTTTCTTGAGTCAATATGTTTGCATGCAGTGCTTAAATTATCGTTTATGCACGCCTGCTCTCCTTTTATTCTTTGCATTTTTAGACTCCTTGTTGCATCTTGAGTGCTTGCTTTCTTGATTTTTGTATTCAAACAGAGTTTTGATCTGGTTGCCGTTGTATTACTATATGATTACTCTTCTTTTCTCAGATGAAAATGATGGTACGTGAAACATTTGCCCAGTGTCTTAAGGTTGGTGCTTGGATGTTTGGCAAAGATGCACACGCTTGCTACCGCAGCAACCACATTTAGTCATATAGAGCTTATGCTTTAGAGTTAAACTTGTAAAGTCTTTTTTGCAAATGTGGGGGCTAACACACAATACAACTCTGTATGCTTCAAGCTTATAATTGAAGAATGATTCAGTCCAATCCTCTGATGTATGCTTTATTTCTTTGTTTTATATAGAGATGGGTCTATCCGTTCGAAGGTGATAAATCGCTGGAAGACCTGCACATGTCATGCTATCGGACTGAAATGATTTTTGTAGAGTAGTTATCTAAATGAACATCTGGAGCACTACTCCTTGTTACCCCATCTACAATCTTGGCTATATTAGATTTTTTTTTCAAGGTTTGAGTTCATGCCTCGTGGTATCCTTTGATAAAAAAAACATGCAAGGACGGTTTTTCTGTCGTCTGGGTTATATTCGTTCAGTACAATTCTGAATGCCTATCTGTGATAATAACAGCGAGGAACAATTTAAGGTCTACTTGTCATTTTGAAAGTGCTCGATGATTATGTTAGTACACTTGCTACAGTTCTCTTCAATTTTTTAATAAAGTGGCACGAACCTGAATGTGGCTCTCTAGTGAACACTTGGAGCCTCGGTTTGCTTTTGTTTTATAGCTCTCTTGGTTCAGTTTTGAATTGGATTTCTTCCTTATATATTTTTTCCAAATTACGTTGTGGTTACAATTTTAGCAACATGGTTATGGAGTAAAATTCAGCTGTCTAAGCTATCTCACATTCTTACCAAAACATATCATCAATTTTTTTTTTCTCAAGAAGGGAGAGCAAGTCTTCCTTTTTCTCTTCCCCTCACGCTAAAGCAGTTGCCGCGGGCCTGCGGCCGCCCGGGAGACCACCCACACCGGCGAAGATCGAAGGTTCGGTTCCTGCCCGGGAGTGGGTTGCACGGCGCTGTTGGCATGAACGGATTTGGTTCTAAAATTCTGATCTCGACAGAAACCGAGTTACCGAGCACATACAAATACTCAACTGAAGTTCAATCGGCGTTGGTGGTCGATGACATTGAGGAACAGGGTGAATTCGTAAGTATGCAACGCAGCCCATTATCATTTTGAGAAGCTGAAGTAAGCTAGCTCTGTGCGGATCAAACATTTCTAAGTTTGACTAAATTTAAATATTAGTAACATTTGTATTTTCAAATAAGTTTATTATAAAAATATACCAAACAATTAATCTAATGACACTTATTATATACCATAAATATTAATGATTTATTATACTCCTATATAGTATTTAGCTAAAGTTAAAGAGAAAATTCGCGTTTGTCTTCTTGAGAAATGAGAATAACACTTATTTTGGGATGGATACAGCTGTTTCCTTTCTCGTTAGAATCCACGACCTAAACAGCTATACGAAATGAAGATGCTTTCAATTATTTCCTGAATGCCGTAGTGGCGGTTGGGGCTTTGTTGTTCGCGAATACGCGATGAAGTGGCATGAGCAGGAAACCGTAGCATGTTTACAGGCCTGAAAACGAGCGACGATGGCAAAAACAACAAAGAAAAAAGAAAGGTGCGCGGGAAATGGTGCGTCTGCTTATCTACTGTCTGCAGTTTCAATATCAGCACTAGAAGTCTAGAACTCTCACCCAAGTCCCTGTCTGGATCAGTTTCAGATTCTTAAAAACAAGTTTATACTCCTAGTTTTTAAAATCTGGATTCTGAGCAAAAACTGGTGGGGTGATCTTCTAGTTTTTAAGAATATGATTTTATTTATTGCTCACTAGGTCACAAGAAACTGACAAAAGCTAGATATCAACAGCTTCTTGGTTTTTAAAAATTTGACAAAAACTTACCTGTTTAAATCCTGCACAGTTTCCAAAAGCCAGATTCTAAACTGGCAAAATCGGAGGAATCCAAACAGGGCCAAGTCTGCGAAGCTGCTGCGACGAGAATGCCGGTTGGTCTGGGCCCGATTTATTCCTGCAGGGAAATCAGAAGGCCCGCGAGAAGAGGATAGAAGCGCCAAAAAAAACGTCTCTGCTGTTTCACCATCTGCACCAGAATTCTCAGTCTGCAGCTTTCAATTTGTTGATCGTGAAAGACATATATGAAGCGCTGTACACAATTTTTTCGTTGCAACCATGCATGCTGCCTATCTGTGGACGGTGGATGGAGACCACGCAAGCCGGCGTGCCTAACATATTTTTTTTTCTCAGACACGTAGGAGAACTGGCATATCTGTTCCTCCTATTATTGAATCCCTCTCTGTCATGATATTCATCCCATTTTGAAATGTTTGTTGACCAAAGAGAGTTGTAGCTTTATTTTCATCCCATTTTCTTGAGTTTGGGAGCCAAAGGTCATAAACTTTTTCAGGAATTTGGAAGTCAGATTGTAGGTTTAAACAATCGTGCATCTCTTTCCAAATTGGACACCAAGGTTAATTCCAAACTGAAGTGTCAACCTTAACGAATTGGATAGTCACATGTTTTTCAAGGTGGTGTCTATGATGGTATAAATTGTAGGAATAGTTTGGATACACGTTCCACAAAAAACAGAGAGAAAAGAGAAATAGTCACGTAAGCAAATATGAATAAGCATTGTTCATCACATCATACTCATAAAGTTGAAGTACTGTACACTAACACAGCAAAGCTGTAAGAATCAGGGATGTTTATGTCTCAGAACACTAGAAGAGTTATCGGTCAACATACAGGAAAGTACCGAAAATTCATCCCCAGTTGTCCATGTCATGTTCAAATGCTAATAACTATTGCCTCAAAACAAATCCTAGTATAACATAACCCAAAACTTCCATCACCAAAGAATTGCTAATCACCAATATATCCACGCTTTTTCTTAGTATGCTATATGCCGATTTCAATCATTTGGCAGCTGATTTCACTCATATTGCTCTTGCCATGCTGGCATCGCCAGTAGCTTTCACGGTTTGGCAAACCACCTTCCCTGGGACAGGCACATACGAAGAGCTGGATCACAAAAAAGCTAGTGACCAGGGGAGTCTTCCTGTCCTTGACATCTTACTCAATGCTCTCTCAACACCATCTATCTGAACTTTAGTGGCTACCTGCTCCTTGACTTTCTTCTTATCAGCTTTTTTTTGTGCATGCTTTATCGCCCTTTGCATCTTTTCTGCCACTTCCGCTCTCTTCTTCTCCAACTTCAACTGTTTCCAGTCGAGGTACAAAGGGGGGCGTGAAATTAGGAAAGCAAATCTATCTATTTCAAATAGAACTGCTGTTACCGAGAATACCTCAGAACTTCTCATCTTCTGCTTGGCCTTTGTGATCTTCTTCCTCTGCCAATCATCAATATCGGCTTCTTTCCTTTTCAGCCTATATGGTTTAAGTATCATTAGTACTCTGACTAGAAAAATAAAGACCTATGGGTTATGAAATTCGAAGATTTGAAAATTAACGCATAGTGATTACTCACAGGAGTTCATGGTTTCATACCCACACCAGTAATGAATTGAACTTGTTACTTCAAATACAATTTCAGGCTGAAGTGATATTGTACCAGATGTAATCAGTAATCACCTAACAGCCATATGAAAATAAAATCTGACCATCATAGCAATACAATCTTCTTACTACGGTTCTTTCTCTGAACAAGTCCAAAATTAATTGGTAACGAGTATCAAGTTTGGATGTTATGAAAAATGGGATAAGAAGGATTACTTTTCTATGAGCTTTGCAATCTGCGCATCCTTCCAGGCAACCAACTTGGCATGGACTAAATTGCCTTGGGGTTTTAACACGGAGCTCGGGATCCGTCTCTCCATCCTTTGCACTTCAACTGGACGGTTCCCACCATCTGAATCACCAAATGCACGATCGCTATGATTGCTACCCTCATAGGCACCATCAGACTCAAAATTCCAATCACGAGCTGCAACATACACGATTGTCTCAAAGTTCAGATTAGGCTGAATATCTGATGAACCCCATGAGATTCAGGCTGGTACCTGAGGATATACGAGATGACACGGTATCAGCCTGCCAGTCTTTTTGATCACCTCCCTCGTCATCCCCTTCACTTACTTTGGGCAGTCTCCATTCATTGGTAGCATCTAGTGCACCCACGCGCTGACGGAAATTATGTGAGGAGCGAGCTCGGCGCATAAATCTAGCTGGTGTGGTCTTGTGAATGAATCTTGGAGGCATTTGATTAGTCCCTTCAACTGCATATTATTGAACATGAATTGCAAGAAAAATTTGTGCCTAATATATCAACAGAGGAAACAAGCAAAAAGAGGCACCTCTCCTATCCAGCAGAGAAGGGTGCCTGGGTGTCTGTCTGATGTTTCGAGGTGTAGCAGAAGGATTCATGAAATCTGCTCTGGCCCTCCCTTGCTCTTCTTCCTTCAGTAGTAGATTTGGATTATTAGTTTCTGCCTCAATCTGGGTTGTGAAAGACTAAATGGATTGAAAAAATAATAAAGTGCAAACAAAAATGGGACCTTCACACATGGCAATCAGATGGAATCAGACATAGAAGTTAGATGACGTAGAAGTTAACAAGTTAATGCAAAAATCAAGATGAGCAAGTACATATTGCTATGAATTTTGGCCCTCACCAGAATTGGCAAACAGAAATTTGATAACTGACTACAAGCCCAAATTATGAAGGAGCAGGCCTTACTGCCTGTCAGTTAACCAGGTCTGGGGAGCAATTCCACTAGTCCAGCAACATTAACACATTAAGAATTTATCAAAAAGCCGAGATAATCGTAAAAAAGAGCCATTTGTTCCTACAAGGCTACAAGTCATAGATAAACCTAAGCACCTCCGTCCAAGAGACCACTTCTACTCCAACATAGACTAGCAGGATGTATCAGCTCATTCCGACAGCATTCAATACTAAGCATGGAATCAAGATCAAATGCAGGCCAGGTGGAGAACCGAGGACCAAAGATTGACTCTTTGATCATGTTGACACTTGGGTGGATGACAAATGAGTCCATCTGTGTCTATGAACGTGGGTCTAGTGTCAAATCTACAAACGATCAATGTTTCGAGTCCCATTTTTGCAATTGCCTTGAGCAAGAATCAGTCCGGGAACAAAACAAACAAAAGGGGAGCCAAGAAGTTAAGAACACGAAAACTAACCATCCGTGGCGTGACGAACGAGGAGGCGTCGTCACCCCCGTGCGGTTCGCGGTCCTCCTCCTCCCCGCCGCCGCCGTGGCTGTTCACGGGGCTGCAGATCGGGGACGGCGATGCGGGGCGGTGCCTGCTGAGCGACCCGGCGCTCCACGCGGCGCAGCTGCCGTAGGACGAGGCCGGGCGGCGGCCGTAGGGCCCGCCGCGCCCGCCCATGGCGGCCATCGCGAGCGGCATCTGCGTGCTCCGCCCCACGGAGGCCTCGGCCTCGGGCTCCGGGTCCGGCTCGGCGTCGGCGTTGTAGCCAGGGGCGCCCCGCGAGGCCTCGGAGCGGGCCGGGGAGGAGCCCGGCGAGACGCGGGAGGCGGCGGTGGGCTCGCCCATGCAGGGCAGCGGGATCGGGTGCTGAGGGAGGTGGTCGGCGCGGCGCATGTTGGTGCTCCCGCAGGAGGAGACGCCGTCCGGGACGGCGGCAGCGGCGGCCATCTTCTTGGCTTCTTGCTCTGCTCCTTCCCTCCTCTCTTCTTGGTTAGTTTCAGCGCGCGCGCGTGCGTTGTGCCGTTGTGCTTGTGCCTTTGATCCCTTCAGGCCCTGAGGACGCAACAGACGCGGGCGGTTTGTGTGGGCGCCTCGCAGGCTGTTAGGCTTCCAGGGTTGCGCCTCCTCCTAGCTATTGGGCCGTGGCATTCGCAGCTCTTCTCTGACAGGTGGACCCCACCTGTGCACCGCACCCTTTCTTAAGAGGTTCAGGTTAGCAGACACAGAAATCCTCAATAAGAACCAAAGCAGACAGATAACAGTAACAGAAATAAGCAGCACAGGTCAGACGTCAGTCACAGCAGCAAGTGTGCCAGCAAAATTCATTGGACAGTTAAATCGTGTGCTGTAAACATGTGGTTCTGCTGGTTCTATTCATTTAATCAACTCTTCCATAATTTACGAAGCAATGCTTTTCCTCACACAGAAATACTACGGTCAGGCTACTCTGAGCAAATCTCAGCTTGTCAGTTACAACACAGGTACAAACAAGATCGGGCGCCTGGTACCCGAAATTGTGCATCATCAAACTACCAGGTCCTGACTAGTTATGACGTGTCCTTTTAAGTATCAAGATGCGTGGTTGCCTTCGGTCAAGTCAAGAAATTTGGCTTCTGAGCACTAAGAACTTTGTGCAGCAACACCTGCTGAACACTTGAGCACCTTCCCTTTGATCCGTTGATGGGCGGGTAAGATCTGCTGCAAGAGGGGTCAATCCTTACATGGCAGATAACAGGTGAAGCGCATCGCAAGGAATGGAGCACCAAGATGATCAGACTTCATACCCTTTTGAAAAATACCCTGCCCTTCTTTCCCATCCCAGTGCCAACGAGGCTCGCGGCAAGAAGTGACTTGTTGTTAGGCCGCCACTTCAGCTCTTTGAGATTGGAGAATAGCTCTGAAAGGGCAGGGGTTATTTCCTCATCCTTGATTTTGTTGCAGGTAACAACTTCTAGACTCTGGAGATCGCTCCATGAGGTTATCACCGATTCGAGACCTCGAGTTGTTAATAGTGAGCACCCTTCTAACAACAGGAATTTTACTCTCCTGCAAAATATAAGAACATGACTAAAGTTAGGCACAATCCAGCACCAGGTCCAATAAATACCAAGTTTCTACAGGTAACCAATCATCTACCCTGCACCGGCAAAAACATTGGCACACTCCATATGGCTCCAAATAATGGCAGGCCATATATTCACTCAAGCATTTCCAAAGAGGAAAAAAATCAAATACCCAGATGAAAATTTAAGAATATTAGGTAATTTTTCCCTACTGTTTCCTGTAAAAATAAACAGATGGCTACTTGTTGGAATATAAGTGAATAAAGCTTTTGGGTTGAACTGGTTGGTGTGTGCAACTTAATATGGTATCGAAGCCAGAGGTCTCGAGTTCGAATCCTGGTTAGCGCAGTTAAATAAAATAATTGCTGCTCGCTCCTATTCCACGTCTGAGGCCTGAGGGAGCCTCCACGTGAGAGGGAGTGTTGGAATATAAGTGAATTGCCCACCTCTCCCCATCAGCTTAAGCTTTTGGGTTGAACTGGTTGGTGCGTGCAACTTAATACTACTACCCATTCATTTCCCAATTCACCAAGTTGTATTTGACACTGCACTCAGAAGGGGCATTTTGATAAGTGTGAAGCAACCAGTGTTACAGCATCGGAGATGGTCCAGATTTTCTTATGCAAGAATGTGTTGTTTTGTGAGCCTCTAAAATGAAATAGGAAAAGATGAGAAGGAAACAAGCTAGACTTTGAACAAGTCACTTAAACTAAGATGGCACATATTTGTTATCATGAGCGTGGAATTACTAATCATCAACAAACATTCCTTTGGAAGATTGACTACTAACCAAAGAACAAGTGAGCAGGTATTCCTCCCAGATATGACTTATAGACATTATGAACAAGTTAATACTGAAAAATGCATGGGCAAACAAGGAAAAGAAAAGGTGTTATTCTAATTAAGATATTTCTGTGAGCAATAGCACAAAAATGTACGCAATGAGTTGCAGGAATACATAAAACTGGGAGATAAATGCATCATTTTTTTGGCAAACAGTGATATTTAAATAACATACAAGGAGCACTGAAATACACTGAGATAGATCTGAAAGGAAAGCAGACAGAGTCAAGTAGAAAAAGGAATGTCCAGATCAAAAGCATGAAGGAGTCTTAGTACATAGGAAGTACACAGGTAAATGTGGCTCCGTCATTACACCTGCAAGTCATTAGTTTACAGATGTATCTTAATCCTTGCTACCACTCAGAGCCCTGAAGGAAGAACAGAGATCAGGAATTGTCCAGACACGGTCGCATTTTATGTGCATATAACAGGATAAACTAATCCCTTCACACGGGAGAAAAACCTAACAACAATTAGTGGTTTACATATAGCTAGATTAATAGGAGTAGATGAGATACTCCATATGACCCATTCTTGCCCTTTTTGAACACTGAACTAGGGAAGCTTAAGAGTAAGAACACTGTTTGGCGATACATTGTCAGTATTGCTCATGTGCAAGATGAATAACCATATTCTTCATTGCTCCCAATAGTCATATTATACCGATTGGTTTATGAATTTTGGAGGAAGCTGGAAATGACTTATATAGTCACATCTTAATCAAATCCACTTATTCAGGTGCCACCTATCTATGTCATGTTTTACATTGCTATTGGTATCTAAAAAAATCTCTCATTGATGCATTGGTAATCCACACAATGTTATATCGAAATCTACATGAAACATGAGGCTATGGATACCACTGCTCTAATGAACAATATTTATAGGTATGTCAATGGGGCTTTTGCTGTAAAAGGGTTGATGAACAAATAATAGAAAACCACATCTTCCAGGAAATTAAAAAATTAACTAGATGCATTTTTGGGATGCTGGTGCATGTCTGTGCCATTGAAATGTATCATTTCTTCTCCTGACTGACAGAGAGGCGAGAGCACACAAATTTGTACTTGAACATCAAATCGTAGCTACAGTGATTGTATCAAGATCACACAATACATCATCATCTAAAATCTGCTAGAAAAGACTATCTTAGTAAGGATGCTAGAAAGCTCATAAAAAACCAGCAAATGCAATCCGAAGTAATGGTGCAAACATTGAGGGGTCCATAAGTAGCTAGCAATCAGACTCATGACCTGAGCCTGACATCTGACATCTACTAATGCTAGAGCACTGAATCCTCTTGTAGAGTAGTACTCCATACATGTGATGTTATTTGTTGCCAGCATGTCACAATCACAGAATGAGCATAAATCAGGAATAAACAGTCAAAAGCTAAAACTGTCCCCATTATGCAATCATTGGAACTATGTCAAGAAACTCTTTAAGAAATGAGACTGGTGGTTACTGGTTCTAGTGTACCTGCATAGGCCAGCCAAGGCAAACATATCATCTTCAAGGCCCCAGCAATTCTGGACCTGTATCTCACGGGCTCCCTCGCAGACCAAAAAGAGGGCGTGGAGGGCGCTACGGTCACGCAGCTGGCACCGGTGCAGCTGCAAGCTCTCGAGCGTGAGACAAGCACCAAGGTGTTCCGCCGGGCCAGGGTCGTCGTCGATCCTGCTGCAACTCTGCAGCCGCAGGGTCTTGAGGTTCCCACAGAATGCTAGGGCGGCAAGCCACCCGCCGTCCATCCTGTGGTCAACGATGGTGAGCTCCTCAAGCATCGCACAGCAGCGCCCAACAGCCGCGATGCCGTCGTAGCTCCCCTCGCAACCCTGAAGCTCCAGCTTGACGAGCCGCTTGCATCCATGGGCGAGGATGGTGAGGCCGATGTCAGTGACGCCGCCGCCCTCGGCGGTGCCGTAGAGCGCGGGGCACGCGGCGACAATGCGGAGGATTTGGAGGTGCGCGAAGGCGGAGACCGGGCGGAGGGCGAGGTCGGTGCAGCGGTGGAGCTCGAGCTCCTGCAGCGTCGGGCATCCGCCGGCGATGGCCATGAGCCCGCCGGACTCAGAGGCGGCGGTGGCCGAGAGACGGCGGAGGTTGGGGAGGCTAGCGGCGACTGCGGCGAGTCCCCGGTCGAGCGCGTCGTCGTCGATGAAGCGGCAGGCGCCGAGCGGCGGGTCCGCGCTGGCGTCTAGGGTTAGCGAGACCGCGCCGCAGGTGAGGAGCGGGGACGCGTGGGGCGCCGCCACGGCGGTGGGCGCGGCGATGGAGGCCGGGAACAGGTCGAGGTCGGCCAGGTCGGGGAAGCGGTAGGGCAGGCGGTGCGCGACGAAGGCCCAGTCCCGCACGGCGAGGCGGCGGCGCAGGCGCCCCGCGAGGCGCGTCCACCGCCTGCAGACCAGCGAGGCGGCGCCCGTGAGGTGGGGCTCCGGGAGGCAGGCGAGGACGCGGAGGAGGAGCGCGTCCGGGAGCGCTAGGGTTTGGTCGGGCTCGAGCGGCGGCGGGTGTGGCGCGGCCGCCATGGCGGCCACGGTGGAGCGCGCGCGGAGGCCGCCGGGCTTGTCCCCCACCAGCCACAGGTCAGGCCAGCCCTTGAGCAGCTGGCGCTGACCGAGGTCGCCGAGGTAGTGGCCGCCGGGCTCAGGCATCTAGCGCGCCCGCTCGGCTCCAGCGGTGTGGCGCGGGCGCGGCGCCGCGCGGCCGCATGGGGCCCCCGCCCGGTGCGTGCAGCGGGGGCCGGGGGGCGACGCTCTGATTTGGGTTTCGGAATTTCGGAGGCGCGGCGTGCTGGGGGTGGGAGGCTGGAGGTTTTGGGATTTGGAAATTTCGCTTGGCTTGACGACCTCAGTCGCGGGGGGAGCGGCGCAGCCGCGCAGGGGCGGGATAGAGAGAGAAGGCCGGGATGTGGCGAGTTCGGAGTTCAGGGTGTTCAGACGCGAGAGTGTCGCGTTGGTGTGGCGAAACTCGGTGGGGAGCGTGTGGTGGTGGCCCGGTGCCGGTGGGGAATCCAACGATTTGAATCCCCTTGTCCCCGGGTGTGCAATGCAAGGCGGTCTTCTCTGTTCTGTTTGTTCCGTTGCGACTTGCTTCGCCCTCGGGGCAGCTGTGCAGTGCAGCGGATTCTCATTTCTTGAGTTTCTGGCTGCAACCTGCAAGAAATGGATTGCTTCCTTGTTTCTTCCGTTCAAGAGCTGCCATTATAATCTGGTTTTTGTTTTGCTTTTGCCTAGTGAGACTGCGAGGGACATGAAATATTTACTCCGTCCTTTCTATAATCACTGTAATTTTGCTGTAATTAAGAATTTTTCTAACTCTAACTAAGTTTATTTTTTCCAAAAACACATTAACATATATACGTTCAAACAAATACAGTTTAAAGAAATATTTCATAGATAATTTAATAAAATAATTAATTATCCTTTTTAACTGAATAGAATTGGAGAACTTTGATTAGAATAAAACTTAAACAACCTATAATTCAAATGCATGGAGAATTTGATTAGCTATCTATTGTTGTTGGAAACGGTAGGTGCTTGTTGCAGTACCATCAAATTTGGCCTCCGCCCTCGTGGGTCTAGGTACTTCAACGTTAGGTTGAACTCCCCTTAAATACCGGAGAGGATCTGTTACTTCATCTTTCCTTGAACTGTACGCATTAGTCCTTGTACTTTGTTCAATATTAAGGCCGTGTTGGGGTCTTATGATTAGAAACTAGAGACTAGATTGTAGCCTTTTTTAGCCCTGTTTGGTTCCTTATGACTAGGGACTAGAGACTAGATTGTAGTCTCTTTTAGGCCCTATTTGGTTCCTTATGACTAGGGACTAGAGACTAGATTGTAGCATCTTTTAGTCCCTAAATTGTTAAACAAGGGGATTAAAAGAAGGACTAGTAGTCTCTAGTCCACTAGTCTCTTGAGAGGTGCTAATTGGGACTAGTGGCCCAAATTTCTCGGCCCATGCCCCCTCAAACTCGCTCGAACTCTCCCCGAACCCTATCATCTCGCTCACACTCCTCCCCGCTCGCCGCCTCGCTCGCCCGCACGACACCGCCTCGTTCCTCCCCACGCCGGCGTAGCCCCTCCCACTCCTCCACACGGCGCATCCGCCATGGACGGCCAATACAACCACTACCGGGATTTCTTCACTCAGGCATCGCTTTCTTCCTACACCGCATCCGCTCCTCTGCTTATCCTGCCTTCCCCGCCGACGAAGTTTGGCCTCTATTCCCAGGTCTCGCCTTCTCCCTTCGCCGGCAGCAGCCAGTCTGCTCCCCACATGCGCAGGGAGAACCTGGATTTGAATTCCCAGGCCGACGCCTTCCCCCACCTCGACATCTTCCCCAACCAGGAGTAGCTACAAGCGGATGGAGGTCGTGGCGGCCATGGCCTTCCTCCGCTTCGCCCTGGCGGCAAAGGCAGTCTCAGCCACTTTCACCCTCCACGCCCGAGCTCTCATAGCCGATTTGGAGGTAGATCCGGCGGACGGCCATCACAATCCGGTCCGCAGGGGCTTCCAATGGTCGGAATCGACGGTGGTGACCGCAGGGGAAGGGTGCCCCTCTGCGTTGGCCGTGGATCCACATCTACGGGCACTGCAGAGGATGTAGACCGCGCCGACAGAAACGAAGAACAAGACGACAACGACTTTGATCCACGTTTTCAGTCGGTAAGATCCACATCTACGGGCATGGAATGCTATTTCTTGTATTATATTAGATTGTTGGTTAGCTTAGCTACATTCTATAGATAATAGATTGTAGTTGTGGTAGAGCAGAGTAGATGATGATGCTTTTTATTTTCTGCTTTTCTATTCTGGTCAGTGGTAGGTACCTTTGCTGCTAGTTCCATGCTACTTATGTAGTTACCTCAATCATATTTATTTTAACTAGGAGCATTTCCATGCAACATATTTGAGTATTGCTTCAATCATGCTACTGTGGTAGCGCAGAGGAACTAGCTAGACCTCCAAGTCAAAGACTTGGAATGGGGCAATGCTGCTATGCTGAGTCCATACTCCATAGGTTTTTGTTGGTTTCATGGACTAACAGGAGCCGGAGCGCTACGAACCCTGTTTTTTTAATAATGAAACTAAGTTCCAGCCTCTACCATCCGAGGATGGTACATAGCTGAAAGCCTCTACCATTCGAGCAGGGATAACCACTTGCTGACTAGGAACAGAAACATCCTTGTTTTGATCCAGAAGAGAAGGAATAGAAGTCTCCAAGTCTTCTTTGTTGCATTGATATTGTTTGATGTTCTCACCAATAGCAGTATTATCCATACACCAGATTTGGTGAGAGTCTTCACCGTTGCCTTGTTTGGAACAACCTTGTCCAAGATCCCTGTAGCCATCAATCTTTCTGATTAGGTCACTAAGAGTTTCACTGTCAGAATCAGAGTTCTCAAATGAGTCTGGAATATGCACTTTACCACCAAGATCATCCCCCACAGTTGTCTATATGACCAGATTTCTCCCAGTTCCATATTTCCCACCAATCTTTGATGGTGCAGACATAGTAACATTGTTACTCTGCCTTTTCTCTTCAGCTGTACCCTTTCCAAGTGTTATGGTTTCCCCACTGGTTTGGCCAGATTCTTTGTTGTTAGTCTCAGCCGCTTTGAATTTCTTGGGGGGGAGGGGGATAGCCACCTTCAGTTATCTTAATTCCACTCTTAAGAGTTTTCTTAGGGCCTTCAACTTCCACCTCCCTTTCAAAATGAAAATCATGCACTGCTAGTCCCAGAGAACTCTCAGCAGTCCTTGGAACCTTAGTGATATCTCTACAAGCAATTCTTGACCATTGACTTGTTTGATTTACGTACCGTTGTTTATTAGGCAACTTGAGCTGTGACATGTCCATTAGCTATTGACTTGTTTGATTTACGTACTGTTGTTTACGTACTGTTGTAAATCTGCAACTGCATTTATGTCTTAATTCCATGTTATGTAGGGAAGTTTTATCTTGTAGACTCGGGTTACCCAAACCGAACAGGTTATCTTGCACCGTATAAGGGAACAAAGTATCATCTCCAGGAGTTTCGGCAAGGACCAATGCCAAGAGGTAAAAAGGAGCTCTTTAATTATTTGCATTCTTCACTTCGAAATGTCATCGAGAGGTCTTTTGGAGTTTTGAAGATGAAGTGGAGGATATTGTTAGATTTGCCGAGTTATCCAATGGAAAAGCAAAGCCAAATAATTATGGCTTGCATGTCCGTTCATAATTTCATCCGAGAGAGTGCTTTAGCGGATACGGACTTTGATATGTGTGATTAGGATGAAAACTACGTTCCATTGGCCAAAGCATTGTGTTCTTCTCAAGGAAATAGACGACGTATACGTCAAGGGGACGAAGATCAAAATATGAATCAGTTTCGAGATTGGATAGCTGATGGTTTATTTAGGAGATTGTAGGTCTGATGATTTGTAATATTGAATATTTATGAACTGCATGAACACTATTTTGAAATTTTCCATGATTTGGGGAGAGGAAAGCCTGCCAACAACGCAAGGCAAAAGCAAGCAACACGACGTAAAAAAGCAACGCTGAACAGGTATATAGCCCCTAGCTGATTTGTGTATTGAATAGGGGTATCATGGTCTTTGTGCAGTAGATTAGTCCCTTGAACCAAACAGCATGAGGGACTATAGTTTAGTCCCTGTGTAGTCCCTAGTCTCTAGTCCCAAGAAACCAAATAGGCCCTAATTCAACTGCACTTTTTTGTCAAACAAATTATGTGCTTAACTGCTTACTGACGTTTGATGTAGTGCTTCGGTACGCAGACAAACCCATGTCAGCTTAGCCAAGGATCTGCCATTCAACTTTTCCACATCTCTAACCTAGTTCACAAGCCCATATAAGAGTGGGCTGGGCCTTTCTCCTCTTCTCTTATCACGAGGATTACCCAATTCACACGGCATTGTGCTGCTGCTGCAATGTGTGACTCGTCGCCAATCCCACTCCTCACACAGGCCAGCCCATGTGCGGTTGTCAGACCATTTCGGCCCAAAGTCAGACAACGCAATGCACGCACACATGTTGCCGTTATGTAAGCCCACAAAGGATTCTCCAAAAAATATAAGCCCACAAAGTCTTTCTTCTAATATTCCGGTCAATGAAACAGAAAAATGATCATGTTCAAGCGAGGAGAAAAAATTTGTTGCAACCCAAAGAAAAGGGATATTTTTTAAATAAAGAAATTATTCCGGCTCTACAAGAGTTTTGCACGTAATCATCAGTGTTGCATAGTTTGAGCCACTGTTGGTGTTTTGTAAACTGGACTAGTAAACTTATATGATTACCAGGATGCTCTATGAAGACGATGGTAGCATCCAAAAGATATGAGAATTTATACTGGTTCAGGCCGGAGCCCTACGTCCAGTCTCAGAGATGATCGAGTGCGTGTTCCTCGCTTGAATGCTCTAAAGTTCTTACAATGATAGGTGCAAGAATGGCGGAAGAGGTAGGAGATCTAGAGCTAGGAGACGGGCTGGCCAAAGGGAAGCTTCAGGAGCCCTTCCACGG